TCGTGTGATTTTACCATCTATGGCGCAGGATTGCTGCTGAAGCGTGCAACGCTCTTAAAGCCGACAAAGGAGAGACTCAAGATCCTGCACAATTTCACTTGCATGGTACAATATTCATCCAAGCAGGTATAATTAGTCGTGGAATACTGTAAGGGAGAATTGTGGCTACATGAATTTTCATCGCGACTTATATTAAGGAAATTTTAACACTAAACATAGGACTCTGTCATGTGTTAATGTAAGTGTAACCCATAGTGTTACAGATCTGGCCAGGTGGCTGAGCAGGAGAGCGATCGGCTCAAAATCAGAAGATTGTGAGTTAAAATCCTGATTGGAGCTTGACTTAGCCAATCATCTCTCCACAGCTGATACAATGAATGTCACTTTGTCGACAGTGGTTGACCTATGAATAGCCTCACCCCCACCATAGAAATGTGGAATTTCCACCATTGTCTTAGAGCTGTCAACGGGGAGACAAGCATTGCATTGATGCTTAATTGAGCAGGAATCCTATCGACTTGTTTTATGGTGTTAGAAGATACAGAGTAACTGTTACAATATTTACACAGTTATCATTCTTTTTCATTATTGCTATAAAGAAGGACCATTTATCGAAACGTTGCCGATCATATATATCTCTTCCCTCATTCGGACACTTATTGACGAACGCGTTGAGTTTTTGTTATGTGCTCCACTGCCAACGAAGTACCACGAAACAATTAGTATTTTATTTAATCATGGACCATTTATCGATTAAACTATCACCAGTGACCAATGTCAGCTGAACATCGACCAATTTTTGGTATGCACTATTCGTTTATATACGCCTTTACTTCAATGTGATGTAACGGTGTTTGCTTGTTTCTTCAGATTCGTTGCTTTAAATTTGGTGAATGTGGAAATTTCTTGACATGCTCGGGATTTATTCGTTTCGGGAAACTCCTGCAGGTAATGCACCACATGTTAAACACTGATTTTAACATTACGCTTATTTTCAATCGCGTCCGTTGACATTGCCATTTTTGCACGGACAAAAATATTTTAGACATGTACAACCCTTTGTCAGTCCGCTATTACAAGTGACCAGGATATGGCAGTACAGCAAGAGGAGTTGTTAATCTGCACGCGTAGTACACTTTTGAGTGCCATTCTTGTGAATGTGTGGTGCGTTTGTTACCCTCCAAAATGAAGAAAAATATACGGGGGATCTTTGCCTTATCTGTTTGTGTATGACCAGTGCTTAATTCCGACCAAAAACAGTCCAGAATTCTGTTCTAGCACGCCACATGCATCTATTTATGGCACGCCACATGCATCTCTGGATGAGGGTTTCCCCACGCTGTTCAGGTCGTGGGGGTTAATTTACCATATTTCACCCTGCTGGTCACAGCAGATTGGTGGTGGGGAGAGCATAGGCGTACAGCACAACAGATTTTGCTTTACTGTCCTGCATTGCCCACCATGTAGTCCCACGGCCTATGACACCTGTTAAGTATGGCGGTCACCTATCCACTCACACTATGCAGGCACAAAAACCTGCTTAGCTTCCGAGAGATGATGGTATTTGGCACATCCCAGATGATTTGGTCAGAGGCTTAACAGCGCGTGACTGAACTATAGAGATATGTAACAATGAATATTTATCTCCGAGTGCCTCACAAGAATGAACAGTTATTTTTAATTCCCTACCTGACTACAAATAGTCGACCCGAAGCCGATAATAACGAGGCAGGTGGGATTCACTGCCTGTGAACGCGTGCGTGTAATTTTGCAGACCTTGATAGCTGGCTGGGAGGAGTTGGAGTGTCACAGAGTATTCAAATACGTCAGCGACAGGATGCATCTAGACTACAAGATGAAAGCAATATTAAGCTTTCGACCAGGTATGCGGAGATCATTTTCAATATAGAAAGCATTTCGTTTTTATATCGTGAGATATCTCAGAAAGTTGTATTGGTGAAAAGATGTTCAGCTAAGGTATTCTATACATGTAAAATAAGATACCGTATAATAGGCCACACTGCCGGGGTGTAACAGTGAGGACACTCGATTTGTAATACAGAGGTCACCGGTTCGATTGGTTTTGCCCACCCAGCGGCAGTATAAATGGGTGCGCCACAGTTAGTTGATCGGCATATTGCGTGTGGTGGGGTAAAGTGTGGGTACACTAACCTCTTCCAAGACGTCTGGCCAACGTTAAAGAGTTGGCCAAATACCTTCGAGAGGGGCTCTAGAGCTCCTTGTAGTGATCCTTCTGCCAGCGGTAGCATGAACAAGCAATTGCAAGGCTGCACCTTTACTGATTACATTATAATATTTATGGCACCTCAAGACGTTTTACTGGTGAGCAATTTTTTTATTTTAAATTTAAGTATATAATTGTATAATGAAGAACTTGACCGTATATGCTCTATGTTATGCATCTATTTATTTTAGTGATTTGCTTGCCTTTTCTGTTTTTCACTCCTATCATTTTTGTGTTGTTTGTTGTTGTAACTTTCTCACCCGCCCCTGCTGGGCATCTGTGAAAAAGAGCTTCATAGCTTATCGGATTCCTCCAGTCTAAATAAAGATTCTGATTCTCATACTGATTCATGGTTCCGAGTGCATTTGGCTCCGCCTGTACAATGTATAACTATGCCACTGGTATAATGTTAAACATGCAAAAGCTCACGTAGAGTTAATAGATCACTCCACTATATCATAAAACAATACAATAATCTTGCAATGCATCGATAAGCACTAAATGCGAGAAAGCATTTTGGACGTCTATAATTCATTAGCATGCGGTGTTTATCTAAAAGGAGACAAAATCGTGATTACAAATACTATATATGTATGCCCGACCCGTGCGCAGAGGCGCACAAAGAAAGGTTAATATGCCTGAAGATATTGAGCTTATTTCACAGCCTGTCTGCTCACAAATGTAACACATAATGCAAAGAGGAATTTTAATTAGTGCCAAAGCAATTACTATCTGTCTCGACACGCAGAGTGATTGCCTAATTTAATGACATTGCAGTTTTGACAACATCTGGTAGGAGTAGAGGTGTGAAGATGTAAAAGGCTTGTCTGTTAATCTGCAGGAAGTGTTGAAGTATATTAAGCATTTTAGAACCACATCAGATGTCAAGATGTTTACAGCTTTGCCATTAATACACATGTAAAAATAATACATTTTAAGCAGGGGGAAAAATTCCACGTATGATTTTATATTTATATTCTCTAGACATCATAAACAATTTAGCTTGCCATATGGAAATTTGCATATTACATTAAATACATACCCACACAAGTACGTGTAAGTGTATGAAGTGAATTTTAAACAGCAGGTCTCGTGTGATAATCAATGCTGTGTCAGTCCAGTGACCTCTTCATGGAGACGTGGGAAATGGGACAAAAGTTTTTGGCACTTTGACCAACGTGACATTGCTGTGACCGAAAGACACGAAGTCTCTTGCATTAAGCTGCCACTCCCTGTGCATCGTCTTCTTTGTTTACTGGCGACATTTCCTTTATTCCCAATTATTATAATCAACACCCGGTGCTCCCAATGGGCTCGGTTAACTAAAGCTTGGCTGCTGACTAAAGAGAAAAACAATCAGCGTTGAGGGCCGGCCTATCTCTCAGCAGCAGCATTCTGGTGGCAGAGTGACTTGTCTGCCAAAATGTATAGCCCCCTGGGAAAACCGGGGCCAATTTTGAGACGCGGAAGAGCGAGCGTGTGAAGTGATCTGTGATGGGTTTTCCACGTTGGGAATGCCAGGTGGAGATGGCAGTTTACATCTGGCCTACATCTACATCATTTGGCCAAACCTGGCCTAGGAATTTGACGAGTGCTGTCCTGATGTCGGTATACAAAAGCCTGATTTTTTTTGTCGGCTGCTGTGGTGCACGATGTAGAAAACACAGACTGTCAGGTGAATCAAACCTTCTCGAACTTGAAGCGAGAATGGACAACGGCCAAATGGTGAAGCATAATGATGGAGCGGCAGCCAATGAATATAATGTGTTCAAGAGGACATCAACAAAGGAGATGTAGCAATTACATCAGCTCCAAAGCATATTCTAGATAGAATATTGTAAAGTGGGATATTATGAGGGATGACGACGGCTTTGGAAGACCTTATCCAGCGCACTGAGGTCCTTGGAGGAATTGCGCCTTATAAATGTAAATTATTAGCTAACGATGATGGGGTGCACGCCTGTAAGCTCACGCTTCTGAGGCGAGGGTTTGGTGGATTACATAGAGATGAGCAAAATTGACAAATCCATTGGGTTGTGAGCTGACTTTACAGGAAATGCCAGTGCAGTAAATAGGTTCTTAAAACCTCTACGATCTTTGAGTTGTATCTCGTCATTTCGTGGGTTTATTCTGGGTACTCCAATTTCTTCTTGCTGGCAAACACACCTCGAGATGGAATTGGCCAAACATCCCAATGCAAGAAACTCCTGAAAAAAATACGTGAATAAATTACATTATTAATATCAATGTCATCCCATAGAGATGGAATTATTTGGGCCATCACTGTACTGAGTACGAAAATGATCCATTAATGCATTTTCTCACAAAGTGCAGCGTTTGCACCGGAAAGAGTGGGTGAGATGGGAGGGGAGAGATTGGCGTATTTGGAAGGGAGGCGTGAAATGAGAGGAGGGTGGTAGGATACTTCTGGATGGGAGTAGAGCGAGATGAGAGGGGAAAGGAAGTCGAGGCCAAGTCGGTGAAGACGGTAAGCATAATCTTTAATGGATTACATTGGCAAGCGTAGAAATCTGTACCATTGTGGGCTATGGGGACTGGAGTTTTGGAAAACCCGGCTCCGATAAATTGTTTGTATTTGTTGCAACTTGCTGAGCTGCCCCTCCTAGACATCTGTGAAAAACAGCTTCATAGCTCATCGGATTTTTCCAGTCAATAAAGATTATAATTCAGAACAAAGACAAAAGATTCTGAAAACGCATCTCCCTCGATTTTGGTTTGTTTTTACGCAGGGAAATTAAAGCAGCTTGAGATGGAGGTGAAGTGCGTGTGCCGGCGGGTGCTGCTGGACCCGTGCCTGTTTCACTCCGAGCGTCTCTTCTGGCTGGGCCAGATCCTGAAGCCTTGGCCACTAGTCAGCCAGGCGCGTCTGCTCTTTGTGATATACGGGCCCTACTGCGAACACGAAGGTATGTACTCGGATCACAATTCAGTCCACGCCCAGCGGTTCAATAAATTGTCACGATCCGGGGTCATGATTTCATCTCAAAATTCGATTCAAAGTTTTATATTTACAATATCGTTTGTATTGGTCCCGAACACAGGGTGATGCACTGCTGGCTGCAGAGCTCCAAATAGACATTTATTTTCTCATTATATCATACCAATAGCACACTTGCGAATTTCAGCCTCTTTGTCAATCCACTACTGGTAGAAAGCCTGCCCACAACGTGTCAGTCGTGACAGTGCAGTGCACTAACCACTGCACCGGTGCACCCTGATCACATAATTGGAATATAATTGGGGGAAAAAAATAAATAAAATGTTTCATCTTTTGTGATACCGCAGCACTCACTGCACTCGTTGTTGCTGCGCTCACACGCACTCGTATGCATACAATGCACACATGTTCACATGCGCACACACACGCCCACACAAACACACGCGCACACTTTAATGCGATGCAGGCCGTGTGCTGTGGGAGCGTACGCTGGTGAAGAATCCCGCGCGCGACACTTCTCTGCGCGACCTCAGCTCCGTCGTTCGAAACCTAGGGGCCTCCGACGCTACCAACTGGAACGATTCTGACGTCATGAGCATCATCGGAGAGATTTCCGGTACCGGCGGCACTTGACACACCCTGCTGAATGTCTTGTAGGGGTGGGGGGCTAATCGCTCTTCGATGTGTCTTCGTTTTGCACCGCGTGTTGTACGGCCGGACGTCCGATGTTTTGTTCCACGTGCTTGGAGCTTCTTCAGGAGCTTCAGAAACTGAAAAAGCTCGCCACACGTGTAGTGAAATGTCGGAAATCCTGCGAAATGGCACGCGGTACAATCCAAAAACATCCCAGAGACGTGCATCACAAATAGGAAAACTACTTCAGGAAACTAAACATATCGTGTCTAAATTAAGGTTTTCATTGTGTAATATTTTACGTATCTAAATGTAAATATACATCAACAGACGTGAATTATGTATTTCTCATTATAAACATATGAATGTTTCGTATATGGTCCAGTATATACAAAGGCTATCTAAAAATGTTGGCAGGGGGCAACTTCCCCATTTGCCCCCCGCTGGGTGGTGCAGGTCGACGATGAGGGTTGGCGGTGGGGTCGTGGGTCACGCGCTGGCTGGCTCACTGGCGTGGGGATTAGTAGGAGTCAGGGCTAGTGGTTTACTCTGGGGTTAAGGGTTAAGGGTTAGGGGTAGGGATTAGGAGCACGGATTATGTATAGCGATGTTGGGACGTGCGGCTCCGCTAAGTGTTTCGTGCGATGGGTCTGTGGCGGTGGCGACGGTGTTTTTTTGTGCTCATGCTTTATTTGTACACCAAAGCCACACTGAGCGTCAAGACTCTTCTTCAGGAGGGTCCTTGTTTTGGGATGTTTGGTCAATTCCATTATTGTCCTGTGTGGTTTTTTTTACTTGGGAGGAAACCTGAGTACCCAGAGAAAATCACATACATATTGGATAACACTGAGAAATCTGTGCAGCTGGGACAACAGCCTATGTGCTGTACCACAATCATATTTTGTATGGTGTTGATTTGATCAGCAACGCCTATATGTTCATGTCAAGGTCGGTGAGTACGCCAGTGGATGACTATTTCAGTAGCCTGGTGAATATTTGAAATGCTGATGGCAAATAATCGAAGCAGCCGGTCGTGTTCCTCTGTAGTCCTCGGTGTGAGATTGATGACCGCAGTTTCAAAATTTTCCAATCGTATGAAAGATAGCCGAATCCACCGTGCAATGTGTACCACGATCCATTTAGGATGGATCTAAAAATAGACAAGACCTATTTAATTTTAAATAACATTTAATGCCTTCATTGATTCTACTTGCTGCTGGATCAAAATCATATATTTTTTTGGTCATGAACAAACCCTTGACTGTTTCCTTGTTATTTTGATTACCCACAATCTGCCATTGATTCTTGCACTTGCTGTACTACCAATTCTGCTGTACAGCCATACTGCCCATGTAGCTTCGGCTGGATCAGGGGCAAATGACCGAGTAAGAAAACTAGGTGATAGTAGGCCTTGGACGTTGGACAGTTGAAAAAAAAACTTAAGCCGACGCCAACCACTTTTATGACAAAGAGCAGTCCTGACGTTGCCTGAGTGGCTGGCCGAGGTCGGGAGTTCGTTTGAACGTAGAGGTCACGCAAGGCGACGGTCATTGACGTCATCGAAAACGACTTCAGCCGACGTCGCCAGCAGGCTCTAGCCACCGGTATTCCCCCATCCACCCTCTCTCCCACGCCCATGCAGTGTTACCAAACAAATGGAACGCGGAGAATTTTGCCCGATTCCTCATTCTGTGCGGGGAGAGGGTCTGCACCATGATGCTGAGCAGCAAAGCCGTGAACCGACACTTCCCACAGCTCGCCAGGCTCGTCGTCTTCATGTCAGTCGTGAGTCGCGCGGAGGCCACTGGGCGTGGGCGGGCAAGTTGGCACTCGGGTAGGTCGGTAAGGTAGAGCATCTTTATTTGTTTGTAACCGGGCTTTAGCTCATTGAAGTATGTCACAATCATTCAAAAGAAATGTAGAAAAAGCTGAAGAGTGTGCAAAGGGGCATGGAGAGATGCATCCTTGGAATTACACAGAGACAGCCAGCGGCCCCTGTATGTATGATTAGAGAACATACGCAAGTTATATTGAAATATTGACTGTTAAAAAAAGTGAGCTTGGGCAGGACATGTAGTTAGAAGGGATGATGGCCGCTGGTCGAGACGAACTGCAGAGTCGCAGGTAAATGAAGGAGCATGCATGCGAGATTTTGCAGTGCAGGGATGAGGTGGTGAAATCAGTTCATGTACAGGCCCTCGAGGGATTTAAAATGGTAGGTTTGTTGTAAACGACTTGGAAAGACCTTCATTTAGCAGTGAATTGATCAATGAATGATGATGCAACTTCCAATAGATGTGAGGCGAGCCAGTCCCTTGCTGGTGTGTGTGTGGTGCAGGTATGTGAGAAGGACGGCTACAGGATGGCCTGGCTGGTGAACACCGTGAAGAAAATCTGCTGCTCCACTGTCAACCAGTCAGACGTGCAGCAGCTGCTGCTCAGCATCGTTCGCATCTACAAGGAGGTCATCGTGCAGCTCATCCACTCGTTAACGGGTCAGACTCATCACCTCATACACACATTGTCACTTGCATGCAAATTCATCATCATTGTTGTTATTATATTGTTATTTGTCATCGTTATCGTCATCATTCCTTCATCAACTGCATGGACCTGGAGTGTTATCCTTTCGTGTGCATGGTGAGTTTTCTCTGGGTGCTCTGGTTTCTTCCCATATGAAGCAAAGCAGTCGTTATTGTCAAGGGAATTGAGACTAACATCCTGATGCAGGACCCTCCTGAAAAAGAGTCGTCAGACTCAATCAAGCTTTTGCAGATGGCATTGTGAAGCGGTTGCGCAATGGTTAGCTCACTGCGCCATGAGACTAACGAACCTGAGTTTGATTCCTGGCCACGGCAAACATCAGAGGCGAGTGATACCTTCACCGGTCCTGGGCCCACCCACTTCACCTACCCACAATGACGAGCGCGGTGAAATATGGTCAGATAACGTCAATGATCACCTAAAAGCAGACTGACAAATGTCTGAACGTTATTATTATCATTACTTATTATTAATATTTATTTTCACCCCTGTTTTTCCCCTGACCCCCTTATCTTGTGAAATTATAATCCGCTCAACAAGGTGAATGGGGGCGGGAGCCGTGTGGGAGCCAGGGGCAGGATTTGGTGGTGATGATTATTATTACAAAGCCATCATTATTGGCCCAGCTATTAATAGGCGACGTCTGCAAGTAAGCCTGGGGGTCAGGGTGCTGAGTGTGCTTAAGCTCTTGTGTTAGACAACATCCCTCTCCTCTGGGGGGGCAGGGGAGGGGAGGGGTTGGGGTAGTTGGTGCGGGGGAGGGGAGATGGGATGAAGGGTTGAGTGGTGGTGGAGGGGGTGAGTTGGGGGGAGGGGGACAACACTTCGCTCAAAACTCACAGCCGCACGCTGCAATAACCCTTAACCCTTTCATGTTCCTCATTGTGCAATAAAAAAAAACAATTTCTGCGAGATAATTCCGTATTATTTCTGTTCACATATACACGATTTTAAACATGTACCGTATTAGCGTCATTATACATAATCCGATTCTGATTTAGCCGAGTGAATGTTAATCGCGCGTAATTTGATTCATGCATTAATTTGCTTTATTTACTCAGTGCCTGGGACAGGAAAAGACAGCACGTCTAATTCTCGCAGTGATGTTGCGTCCATGCGTTCGTGCGCGTGTATGTGTGTGTGTGCACGCACGTGTTGAATTTTTTTTTGCCACCCATTCCCACCGCCTTTCCGTGTGGCAACGCGTTGGCAGAGTCCCGGGAGGGTTGCTTGGAAGAAATGTGCATTTCACCTCGCAATGAGGACATTTTAATTTAGGAATCCCCCCACCCACCATCCAACCATCCCCAAAATACTCCCCTCCTGCCACCACCACCACCCCCCTCTAAAGCGCCCAATGCCTATTACATCATACACTCCTGCGTGCCAAGCCGTACCGCTCCCGACGCATTGTGTGAACGACAGAAGCACTAATCCGTCCAGATGTACACCCTCTAGAGCAGCGGGGAGACGTGTGGGGGCGCAGTGCGGGTCAGGACAAAAGGCTTGCTTTGTGGGGGGATATAGAGTGAGGGGGGGGGGGGAGAGGATTGGTGGAGGGTTTAGTGTGGGCAGTGGGGTGTTGAGGTGGCACTGTGAAGGATCATGATGATCGAGCAATAATGATGGAGTAATTGGTGACGATGTAAGGAATGACAATAAAGATGAAGTTATATGGTGATACGAATGTTAATTCGGGTTGGATGATGATGAGTGGACGACATTGATAAACTTTGATGATGATGACGAATTTATTCCATAATGATCAGGATAGAGAGCGTGATGATTTAGTAATGATCATAAAGATAAGATGGATTGAGGATGATTCATGACAACTAATGATGATCATTCGATGATGTTGATTCAATGACGATTAAGAACGTGACTAAGACAATTATGATAATGATCATGATCGCGATGACAAAGACTAAGACGATGATAAAGACATGGACAGACGAAGGGAGTGTGTGAACGGAGTGGGTCAAGGGAGCTGTAATCTTTAATGCCTGCCTTGTCGATCGAAGCCCTAATCTGTTATTGTGTCGATGGTGGACTTAAAGGCTGTGAACGATTTAAGTGCCGGTTCACATAAAGTAGCAGCCACCTCTCCCCACACAGCCCCTGTAGTATCGGGCTATGCGTCTCGGCTTTATTGTAAGGCTATATTCTGCCGCCTTTGAAGTCTGCCTTATGGAGGCCAGGTCAGCAAACGCGAAGTGCAAAGGATTGATGATGAAAGTGCCCTTATCTATGTTCACAGGTGGATGGGATAGAGTAGGTGGCAAATATAACAAGGATCCACAGACAACGTGAGAATGATAAAATAAACAGATGGACAGGTGGAGGGATAAAGATAAAGATCCCCTTATAGCCATACAGACTATGGGGCAAGTGCTGTTTGCGACCACCTATGAAGGCTAACACGACACACTTGCACAGATACACAGACATATATACAGATATACGCAGGCAAACGAAGCGCACTGACCACTAAGCTACAGCTCTACCCTATTAAGACCGTATGGCACACGAGGGGGTTGGTTTAACCATCACTACTGCACATATACATTTTCACACATACACACTCATACACATACTTGCATAAATACATAAAAAAACTCACATCCACAGCTACACACACAAACATGCAGACAAGTGCATACACAGCCTCACGCACAAACCCACAAAGACAAATATCCCCCTCCATAGACTTAACAGACTGTTGGGGCAAGTGCTGTTTGCGAGTAGTACCTATGAAGGCCGGCATGGTAGACGAGGGGATGGGTGGCCGGCACCACGCCCGGCCGCCTTTGTTTCCCCAGTGGCGACGTTTACACACTGCAGCAGGTACTCATTTGAGGCCGATTCGTCCTAATGGAGGCTCAGGAGGGGTTCAGATGATCGTCACTGGTGTTGGCCGTGAACTCGGGTGTCCAGGTTCGGAGCACAGCGCACTAACCGTTGTGTCACCATTCCACACACACTGACATACGTGACTTTAATAGGTATGGTACAAAGTATCACACTTTACACCATTTACGAATGTTTTTCCACTTTCGAAACCACACGTCAAATAACATAGCGTCGGGCTTCAGCGAGTGAGTTTCTGGGCGAATGAGTGGGTAGTTTAATAAGTGAGTGGTCCACTGAATGACCGAATGGCTCGGTAGATGTATGGATGAGTTAGCGAGTGCATGGCTCAACTGAACGACTGAGCGATTCGTCCAGTGTGTGAGCGTGTGGCTCAGCATATGACTGAGTGATTGCGCGAGTGAGTGGCTCCCTAAATGACTGACTGAGTGCTTCAGCGAGCGAACGAGCGCACAGCCGAGCAGTGCTTGCCGCCGTCATTATCGGACCGGCTGTGCCCGTCGGAGCGGAAGGCAGCAAAAAAAACCCCGGCGCTCTCGCATGGGAACCTGAGCTCCCGCCATAAATTACCTTGTCACCGTTGCTCCGCGCGATCCACGTATAAGCAATATATAAATTACGGGGCTTGGCGGGACCTAATGGATGATTTCCTGGCCGACTGTCATGGTGTGGTAGGAGGCGCGCACTCCCACTGCCCGCCTGTGTCTTCATCACCGCCCGCCTCCCCTCCTTTGTCTGGGCAGGGGTTGGTGGGGAGTTGGCGGTGGGGGGGGGGGCAGAGAACGGCTAATGGGCAGTTAATGATGAGCTGTAATGTGGGAACGGGACAGGAAAGGCAGTTACCAATGCCGCTTAATTAATATCATGTCAAATTAAGCCTGAGGCACTTGATTAATAATTGAACTGTCAGCCCGCACAGCGATTTTCCTTTTAATGAATGCGTCTCATATCTCTGATGAGTCGCATCTGAATAATTTTTTTGCGTCTTTTCTTTTCCCCCACACTTTTCATTGTCTCTTTTGCTCCCGTTTTACTTTTTTTTCACGCGTTTTTCTTGCTGCGCTCAGAGCTTTTCACTTAATGATGCCGGTCTAAGGCTGTGGAATTTTGTTTACGTTGGTTAGCGAGGGTTCACAACACTGCTAAGTGATCGCACGCACCCTTAAATGAGGACACAAACTCAAAAATAAACAGCTCTTATCTTGTAGCTGCACACGTAAGGTGCTAAAAATATATATATATATCTGAACTTCAACTGCTCAGATGAATTACCCTCATATCATAGCCCACCACAGCAAGGATGAATGATCACGATTCCATAAAAAAAACTATTCTTTTAAAAATAAATAGTGAATTTAGTGGTCGCTAGTGGCTGCCAGGGAATCACTTGAACGCTATGCATACAGAAGCGCCATGAATCCAAATTGGAACATACACTCATCTAAAAACATACTCTTGCACACGTGATTTGATACATGCATTGTGAGGTTAAGCATCAATATTAATAATTGCATCGCTGGACGTTGACACTCAAATTAATGGAAACTGCCTGAAAATTCCATGCGGATTGCTGGAATTTTAAACACGTAAAAATTCAACAAGTCAGCATGAATATTTTAATTGTCCCTGAACCCACTTAAAATGTTATTAGAGTGTGCGGTGTTTCCCAGGCTGAGTTCGAAGATTCGTTCATCATCATACTCAGCTATGATGAAACCACTGTTGGATGAAGACCTCCCCAAGCTGCCACCATCTCTCACAGTCCTGTAATCTAACAATCCATCCAGTACCTGCACACGAGCCGATTTCATTGGGGGCACGTTCCCGTTCCCTCCTACGGGTTGCTACTCCGTCGTTAGTCTTAAGTAGCGACCATCATCTATTTCTCTCGTCGTGTCCTGCCCAACCCCACTTACTTTTCTTCACAGTAAAAGCTTCGTTAAATGAGCCAAAGGGACTTTAAAATCAGTCTTGGAGAGATTGTATGGGGGGTGATGGGCAGTGGACTTTCCGTTCCACCTATGTTTATGACCTATTTAACATTTGTATGGGCGCTCCAAAGAGTTAACACCATAAACAG